GCCAGCAACTTAGACTCGGACTCGACGGGATAAGACACCCTATGATATCATGTTCTAACCAAACACCAACACTTAAAGGAGGGGAAGATATTCGTTGGACCCCAACCTGATATGAAGCCGCCAATCCTTGGACTAAGCTTCGACCTGTCCCAAGAGAGGGATGCCCGGGTGAGTAGACGAAATAAAACGAAATGCGTCGAAATGAGAGGCAGTGTATCGTTCGGTGATTTACTTAATTTATTCTATTTTGAATAGTAGTTGATTAATTTTTTTTTTAATTAAACTAAAAGATCATAGTTTAGTAATTTTGTAGCGTTACGAGAAGTAGAACCATTCCTTAGGAGACCTCGAAAGTCAAGATTCAGTTCCGTCTAGTTGGTTCAATTAGGCTATGATTGACCAAACTAGTTGAAATAAAAATTTCAACTTAACTTATTTGAAAAGCTATTCAAAAAATTCTTTGAGATAAGCTCGAGTTTTTTGAAAAACTCGTCCTACCAAATGAAATTTATTTAAATACAAGAAGTTTATACATATAAGCTAACCAAATAAACTATAAATTTGCTTATTTGTCTACTAAATATAGCCTAAATTGTTAATTAAATTCATCTTATTTTTTATTATTTTAATTAAGTTAAAATATCATAATTTAGTGATTTACCAATAGAAAATTAGAAATTATCAACGAAATTATATTGATCGAGGATTTACCAATAGAAGTGACATCACACGACTCGTGTCTCGTTGTGACACGAGTCTTGTGAAAATGTCGTAGCAAAAGTTTTAATATACCTTACCAACACACTTCGTGTGGGTGACACGAGTCGTGTGACGTCACACGACTCGTGTCTTTATGACACACGAGTGCTGTGGCCACGACTGACCCTCTTTTTTCTCATTTTTCATACTAACTCAATTTTTAACGCTTTTTCCGGAAAAACTAACGACAAAAATACTTCTATCATTCATTAACAAATTAAACAAAGAGGTGCATAATCCAACAATAAACACGACCAACTATGTCATAACAATCAACGTATAAACACAGCCGAATATCATAATATGTCAATGTGCATTACGAATGTCACGCCACAACTGCTTCCTGTTTTGGTAGTAACCCTCCCAACCTTGAACTGTCACATTTCAGTATCTAGACCACAAAAAATAAATAGGCGGTAATGGAAAATTAGGAGACAGATTCAGACGAATGTAGTGTGCGTAAGAACCAAGATGACAGATGACAGATGACAATCTCGCATTCTGGTCTTGTAGCCGTGGGTCGTGCATGGAGCGGAAATACTGTCGTAAATGATTGTCGATATCAGTACCACTGCTCCCAATGCCTAACAAAACGACAACTGCATTAAAAAGTGTAGCAATAGAGAAGAGGTCGACTACAGCTTCCATCCAGTGCCCACTGCCACAAGAGACCCCGTCCCGTCTTATTCGGCTCATTGCTCTGTCGACCTCATCATAAGGAAAAGGGTTGTACAAGGCAGGGAAAGATTGAACCTTATTGGCAAATGGCCACATCTCCTAGTCATTATACACGTAGCTCGCGATCACCCGAAATCCGCAGTTGCCATCCGCTTTCACATTTAGGTAACTCTCTATGTATTCGTAAACTACGAATGGAATTTTTGCCAATGTGCAAAAGCAAAGAATCTGACTGCATGGTCTCTGTAATATCAGAATAAATTTATGTCACAATTTATAACAATATTAACATTCAGATAAAGAAAAAAAAAATCACCTATTGGATCTAGTGAAGGGAGAGAAGACGAGCTTGTCGGGACACACGAAGAACAGCTTGTACGTCCCACTGGACGATCTCTGTCCCTGTACTCCCATCTCGATGGTTAATGCTTAATTGAATTGGTTTTTTTTGGTCGACCTCTCGTACTTTCCTTCACCGCAGGTTCTGTATAACCTTGTTGGTCAGGGTGAAATTGAGCGTAGATGAGGTGATCCAAGTACCGCACAGTTGCAACATCGGCCGTTTCAACCTCATCGGCAAGGCTCTGAAAAAAATGGTGATCTATCCATCCACTTGTCGATCCACTCTGGTCACCTGTCCCTGCAAGTATGAGATTAAAAATTTTAAAAATATATCAACATAATTTATTCAGTACATGAAGTATATTAAAGAAGGAAACAGAAAGTAGATAAATTCTATAAATTTATCGATCTCGAAATTATACCTGACTCTGATACCTCTAGTGTACTCCAAAATTTGTGGATCATATCGACAGTAATCGGCATATCCACAATGTGTGCCGCCGCTATCTCACAGGCACGAAAAAGTCCATGAGTGTATCTCAGTACACATCTGCAGCCCTCCGAAACCTCACCGCTCAAGTTTTCCATCCTTTTTAGCTCATCATTCAATAAATGCAGATATGTTAGATATGTTGTAAAAGCTTGGCTTTCAGATATGAACAATATCATTTAGATCTGGCAATCGTGTTTTAATCAAAGTATTTATGTTTGCATTTTATTTATTTATGCAATCATAACTCTATTATTTTACACTGTAGTTAATATGGTTCGCCGTGTCGAACAGTAAGATCATATTATCAGTTCCTTGTAAAATATAAATTTATTGTTCACAGTTTAGACAGGCAGTAAGACCCCTATTGGAAAATGACCGTAGTGTAGTCTTGATTCAGTTGATCTTTGGCTGATGGATTACACTAGTACTTATGATAAGTATTGAACGGACCGCGGAAGGATAAGATTATAAGATTTACTGATTGTTATTATAATCTAGACCTTCAGTGATTGATGCGTTCTCTTAAGTTGTAAGATAACAATAAATGGGCATATATAATCATTACTTATTTATTTGATTTAGCAAGGGTGATTCTTATTCTGTTAGGATGACATACTCGTTATTTTGGTAAGTAAGAGTGTTTATATGATGTGCCGTTATAAATTATTTACAGTCACTGTGTCCCAGTGCGCTGGGTTGATGACGTCCCCGAAATGAACTCAGGAAGGAATACTATGTCAAACCCTGCAGGTGGATAATTATCCGGCATAATGATTAATGAACTGAGTGGTACTAATTTTGGAAATGAAGAAGTCAATTTAATTTAATTGTCAGTAATTAAATTAATTGACGGATGTTATATCTTAAACATGGGGAGGTAAATCGGTCAATTAGATTAATATTAGTTAATCATTCCGAGACTTGATTTATTGAATAAATGGAAGCTAAATGGAGAGAGCAATAATATTACTCTAGTGGAAATGTTTTATTATTTAATTCTATTTAGATTAAGGAATTAATTTTATTCCATAATTAATATTCCATTAGGAGAGGAATATTCCTTCTAGAATATTACCTAAGGTTAGGAGACTAAGGAGTCTTCTACAAGGTGATGCTTAGTTGGAGGAATTCTATCCTAGGTTGGAAAGATATATGGAATGGAATTAGGATTCCTTAGCCTAATGGGATAAGCCCATATTTATCACCTCCTTAAGGTCCCTAATGTAGTCTATAAATACACCAT